GACACACATTGTTTGCTTTTAGGATGACCTTATGGTAACATTTCATGTTCCAAAAGGAGTTTCATTTATAGTAACCCGTCATATTTAGATATCTAAAGTAAGTCCTATGACAGAGGCAGGCCAGTTAAAAGAATCTGTAATTGAAGCAAAAGCGAACACAATAACAACATTAAAAAGAGGACTTCAGGCCCAGTAGCTTAGCAGTTGAGCATCAACCTATGATCCCCGAGATCACAGGTTCAGTTCAGGTCAGGGAACATCCAACAGGGCACATGCCAGGGTTGAGGGCTTGATCCCCAGTACGGGGTTGCAGGATGCAGCCAATCAATGACTCTCTCATCATTGATGTTTCTATCTTTCCCTCTCCCTCTCTCTGAAATCAATAAAGACATTTTTTTAAAAGGGGGCGGGGGGAACTTAGGCTACTTGTATTTTGTTTGATGAGATTTGGATCACTGTAGAGTGCCTGAGCTACATTGCAGCCATGCAGTTTCTTTGTAAACCCATTGAAGATTTCATGTTGTTCAATACCCTAGGTAGTTGCTACTGACCTGTTAAGGCCTTGACATAACACTAGACCCTTCTGGAGTGACTGGAATATTCCAGTTTCTTTTATTTCAATGCCATTTTTAGGAGACTATAATGTCAAAAAATATTGTCATTCAGTGAATTTCTTCTGTAAAATGAATGATTAAGTTTTGACCATTGTGGTCTTCATTTGATCTACATAGAGTAAAAAGTAGTCCAGGAAACGAGTAATTCACATTCATAAGCAGTTTGCTAAAAGTTTAACTATTAAGGAAACACCAACTGAAGACTCAGAAATCTGGGAGGGAAGGAGAGAAGATTGGTATAATCCATTACACTAAATATTCTGTAATGTGTATATATTACTTTTATAATAAAAAAGCAGATTACAAAAGACATTGTTGGAAAATACTTGCTAAACTGTAAGATCTGTATAAATGTTAGGAGGTATATTGTAGGTATGTATATATAACTACATACATATGAATATGAAGACATACATAGTACCTATATGTGCATTTATGTGCATATATTCTTGAATATGTATGGAGTTAAATACAGTGAATCTGCTGTATTTGCAATAAATGTGTGTGTGTGTACTAAAGTGAGAGATATGTGTGTTTTAGGGAATAAGTGAAACCAAGATCCTTACATATCTTTAGACCATAAAGAACGTTATTTTCTTAATACACAAAAGATAGTCATTGAATTTTACAGTTGAATGACACCTTGAGGATTAGCTAGACCATTCTTTAATTTTATAATGAAGTATGTAAACACAAACACATTGAGTAATTTAGCTTAGTATTCCACTGATCTGTTGGACTTTTAACATAACATATCCTAATATACTTTGTGACTTTTCAGGGGGTAAGATACTCTGTATTTCCCAAACTTATTTGACCTTGAAAACCATTGGACAGTAGTGTTCCACAGAACACAATTTGGGAAATACTATTTTAAAACCATATTTGAAAGCTTAGCATTTTAAAATATAAATTCTGATTGTGGATGTATATTGTTTAATCTTTAATATTGTAAGGAATTAGAATTGTAGAGATATACCCTTTAATCTTAACTATTCTATATATTTTAAAGAATTAGATATTTTTGTGCTACAGAAATGAAACTGTGAAGTTCAGTAGGGAGGTTGTGCAACACAGATTTATGGTAATGTCAGAATCTGAGAAAAGGGAGAGTGATGTGTAATTTCACTTTGATTCTTACAGTCTCTCCCCTTGAGAAGTTCTGGAATGACAGTTGATACTGATCAGAATGTAGTAGAGGCAGACAAATGTTGGGAACTAAAAAGGCAAAAAGGCCACCTTCTAGAATAAAGTCTCTTTTAGTTCCTTGGGCTCTGAAAAGGTCTAATCATTGCCTGAGGTACATTTGCAGATCTTAAGCAAAAATTGGAAAGCAGGGAAGAGAGGCAATAATAAAGGAAGAAACATGCATAGTGAGAAACAGTATAAAACCCAATAGCACAGAGTTTGCCATTCAACCTTGTTACAGATGAAGTACCACTTGTTTTGACTAAGTGATTTGCCTACACCTTAGGTAAATTTGGTGGCAGAATTTAGAAGTTTTTTGTGTTTTTTTGTCCTTGGGATATTTTTTTCCATTGCTTTTCAGGGAGACTGGAAGGGAGAGAGAGAGAAAAAAACCATAAATGTGAGACACATTGATTGGTTGCCTCCAACACGTGCCCCAACCAGGGCCGAGATCAAGCCTGCAACTGAGGCACATGCCCTTGTCCGAAATCAAACCTGGGACCCTTCAGGGCTGACTCTCTAACCACTGACCAAAACTGGCTAGGGCTGGAACTTCTTTTTAATTTGTTAATTAGATTTGTGCTCAAGCCTTATTCTGCCATCATATAATGATAGCTGAAAGCTGAAGTATTGATGTTTAACTTTATTGGTATAATTCAGCATTTCTATCTCTACAGAATTTGAACCCACCAACTGTGTCATACTCTGTCATTAGAGTGGGTCTCAGATTTTTAATTGTATCCTTTAATTGGTGATGGAGGCCAGTTGTTAGATTTCTTACAGTGGAACAGATGTTTTTCTACCTTTTTATAGAGAATTTCACCTAAAGAATATTATAATAAGTATTTACCTGGAATGTAAGCTTAAATAATTTTATTTGCAAAGCAATTTGTATATTAAGTAAAGCTACTACGATCACAAACCAAAGAGTTATATTTTGTTTAGAATGGTCTTTGTGATAATGGCATATAATTTCATAAGCTCTTGTGAGTATATTCCTTAGACATTCAGATTTGTTTGCTCAGTTTGCTTATGCCATCAAAACTGCATGTTTTTTTTTGCATTCTAAATGAAAGGTAGTCCCTCAGATTCTGAAGAGCAGAATAAATAATGTGTTCTATTTTGATATCTAATGATTCTATGTTGAACAATGGTCAGTAATCTGATACTTATCTCTATTTATTTTTCAGTGGTGGGAAGGACAGCTGTTACAATATGATGCAGTGCATTGCTGCCGGACATCAGATCGTTGCTTTAGCAAATCTAAGACCAGCTGAAAACCAAGGTAAGTGTATACCTGTATTGGAAATTGTCTAAGTAACTGAATCTCCAACTTCATTATTACATTCTGTTGTATACAGTATGCAAAAACATAAAAGGAACTAATATATCTTTAGTACCTATTAGGTGCTAAGTTCAATGCTAAGTGTTTTCAATTACATGTTCTTTAATTCTCACAAGAACTCCTAGAGAGTTTTATTCGACGTAAATGTGAGAGAGACACATTGATTGGTTGCCTCCAGCACGTGCCCTGACCAGGGCGGGGGATCAAGCCTGCAGCTGAGTCACATGCCCTTGTCCTTGGTAAAATAGCTGGAACAAACTTGCAGAGCTGAGACTTGAACCCGATTACTTCACACTGCCCCTCCACGACAACACATTTCCAAGTGTTGCAGGGAATACACAGGTAAATAAGATAGAGCTTCTAGGAGCTTGGGAAATAAGACATATATTGATAAATGATAATGATAATTTTGTATTATTTAAAAAATTCAATTTAGCTATCTTAGATGTAAGCTAAATGTGTGAGACTTGATAGAGGTATAAAGTAATACAATTCTACTTTTTATTTGTGGTAACAAGGATATCCATAATTCATCCACAGACCTCATTTTAGCTACTTTTTTCAGATTACTCACCAATGACATTTTCCCAGTTAGAATTTTTTTTTCCCTTTGTGTCCATGTGTGTTTAAATTTCCTTTTTTAATACACCAGTTATATTGGATAAAGGGAAAGTACTTTAATGACCTTAAACTAACTAATTACATCTGCAACGACCCTATATCTAAATAAGGTTATATTTTGAGGTACTGGATGTTAGGACTTCAGAATAAGAATTTGAGAGGGATATAGGCAACCCTCAACAATATCTTTTGTCAACTGAGATATAATTGACATATTACATTGTAGTAGTTTTAGGTATACAGTATAATGATTTAGCATATGTATATATTGTAAAATAATCACCACAAGTTTAGTTAAATCCATGACCACATGGTTACAATTATCTTTCCCAATTAGAACTTTTTTAAAAAAGAAAAATAGCCCTGGCCAGTGTGTCTAAGTGGTAGAAAGCTGGCCAGTGCACCGAAGGGTCGAGAGTTCAACTCCCGGTCCAGGGCCCGTATCTGGGTTGTAGGTGGAACCCAGGCCCGATCAGTGTTTCTCTTTCTCTCCCCCCTCCCTTCCACTCTCTCTGAAAATGGAAGAAATATCCTCAGGTGAGGATTTTACCCGTAAAACTCGAGTTATTAACTGCTAAAATGTAATAGGGAGAGATTAACACTTGTCTAAGTTTGTTTGTTACTACTTCTCATACTTCTAGTAAAATCTTTTTATCATCCACTTTTCTCATTTTCTTGCAAGACTCTATGCTTTTGCTCTACTGTCATTTTTGGCTGAATTAAATGAGTAGTATATATGAAAACGCTAATCATTGTTCTTGGCATGAAATAGGCATCCAGTAAATGTAGTTAATCTGAAGCTAGCTCTAAAATCCCTCCCTCCCCCCTTTCTTCTTTCTTCAAGGCTGCCAGTCTGTTGAATTTTTGTTTTTATATCATTTTGCAGTTGTTTTCTATTTATTTCGTCTTTGCTTTTATTTCCAATTAGATTGCTTGTAAGGTTCTTGAGAGAAGAGGTCCTATCTTCTGTGTTCCTTTAATTGTTCCTCAGCACTTGGACCAGCTCTATGCCTCTGGTAGGCATTCACTCTCTTTATTGGGGATAGATGAATAATAAACTAACTAGAATTAGCCCTGGAATAGCCAGCAGTTATTTGTCAGATATTCTTTCCTTCTGTCATTAAGACCCAAGTAATTCTGAAAGTGAAGTGGGAAGGTGGAAATTAAAGATATTTTATAGGAAGAAATAGGACAGGTTCTTTAGAGGGATGGGGTAAACATAAACTTTAGGATTTCGTACTGGGGTTCTGATGATGAATAAGAATACTTTTTAGAAGTGAGCTGTTTTGAAAATAACCTACTTCTGTACTTTACATAATAAAGAGAAAATTCTGACTAAGGGTGAGTGGAAGCTATACTGTAACTTCTGTATTATAAAAGAAGAAGCAGGTGTTTTTTTTCAAAGCTGTGTTCACTTACCAAAAGGAAAGAGACTGTTTTATCCCTTGTAGTCAGGCAAGTGGGTTTTTTAAACTTTCTATCTTGCAAGGTCTTAGTATTTAAAAAGCAGATACTTATATAGCATATAATACGTACTTGATATAATATAGTCATAATCTCCCTCCCTGGAGTTTCTATCTTGTCTTCAGCTTTTCTCTGTGAATTGTTATAGTTCCTTGTACTGAGTCATTATTGTATGATTTTCCAGGTGTTAATGCTTCACTGGAAGGGTGAATAAGATGACAAGGAAAGTATATCTTTATAGTTCACAGTGGAATGGTGACAGTTATTTAGAATATTGTGAGTGAGAGAAAAAAATCCATTAGTAAATCAAATATTACAAAGTAAAAATTCATTAGTAAATTGGAATATTATGAGGTAAAAGTTGGAAACAGTCAGCTGGAACTATAGTAATTGTAGTGGAAGAGAATAGACAGCTGTGGGTTGGTAGATGGAGAGGTTTTAGCTAATCTTTATTTAAAGTCAGCAGGAAGTTTGTGATTACCGAATGATTCATTGATTGACTTCTTTTCCGCCCAAATATGCTGCAAAAGGAACCTTAATGAGGATTGACTGGTAGAGATGACTCCAGTGTAAAGTTGGTTAGAGTGAATTCATAGTACTGGGTTTTCTATAGGTTGTCTGGAAAGGAATTAATCCCCATCAATAGGAATAATTTGAAGTTGTCATAGAAGTCATAAAACCATCTCTTTAAATTTGTAGTAGCAACTCTTGTGGCATGGTAATTGAAGTGCTTCAGGCAACAGTGGAGCCTTTTGGTTTTATTCGATTTCAAAGCATTGTTACTACATAGCTTCCATTAATAAAAGTTACAGTGTGGTTAGAACTAAATGGAGCCTTAAAGGAAAATAGTCTTCTAGGTTTTTGAAGTCAGTAAAATGTTTTAATTATTGTGCTAACATCAGGAAGTTTCTTGCTAAGAAGCTTAAAGTTCTTTAGATATATTAATTTGATTATATCATTTTTTTTAAAGCTAATAACATTTAAAGTCTAAGTTTGAGATGAAGGAAGGATGAAAATTTTTTAGGTAACATTGGCTGTATCTCCACTTCCTACTGGGACTGGGAGTAGATGGATTTATAATAATAATGTGAGTGTGGATCCCAATCTGATGTGTGGGTCCAGAAAACTGGTGAGCCAAAATGTGATAGCAGATGGTTGATGGTTTTGATTATTGAAGGGGCCCTTCCTTAAAGTATCATTTTCATGCCTTTTGATAGGATACTTTCACATTAAGTGGAAAGCCTGGACCTGCTTGGGATATATATATGTCAAAGCCAATTATTACATACACACACACACACACACACATATATATATATATGTAAAATTGTATAATTACATATACATATATGCCAAACAAATTGTTTTGTAATCTTTTTTTTGTGTGAACATCTTCCATGTCATTAAGTATTATTTTACCATAGCATTCCCTAGATATCTTCTTTGGAATACAGGTACCACATGAAATGTAAGTGTTCTTTGAATAGGTAAATCTGAGAGTTCATACTTTATCCCTTTAAGTGGAGCAGCTTAAACACAGTAGCCTAGGAAGAACTGCAGCAAAGACACTTAACATGGTTTAGCTCCATTTTTAAAAAACGTATTTGACCATGGAATCCTTTTTTCATCAATTCCTATTAATATATATGGTATTTCTATTCTGCAGAATATACTTTAGAAAAAGCTCTTCAAATTATATTGATGGCTGCATAGTATTTCATGGATATAGTATGATTTTTAAGCTATTATAAATAATTCTGTGATGAATATCTTTGCAAAGAATCGTTATGTATATTCATGATTCTTTTTTTCTGAAAAATAAAATTATGAGATTACAAAGTCTACTGCAATATATTTCTAAGTTCATCACCAAAGATTCTGATGTGACTCATCTGTTTTGAATATTTTACCCATATTGATGTTTGTGGAATCTTGTGACAACCTGTGATTATGTTACTAATTAGTTTAAGTTATGTTTCTATATACCTTTGTAACTGCTTTAAAAATATTGAATTGATATATTTTTATATGTTTTATTGAAGTGTTGAATATAAAACATATCAAGAGCATCTAAATTTTTCTCTTATGAATATTTGTCACTTATTAACTAAGTATATTTTTTTAAAAATACATTTTTATTGATTTCAGAGAGAGGAAGGGAGAGGGAGAAAGAAACAGAAAAATCAATGATGAGAGAGTCATTGATCGGCTTCCTCCTGCGTGCCTCGGGCTGGGGATTGAGCCTGCAGCCTGGGCACATGCCCTGACAGAACTGAACGGCAGTCTCCTGGATCATAGGTTGATGCTCAACCGCTGAGCCATGCCAGCTGGGCAACTAAGTAGATATTTAAGAAAGGTTTTCTGCTACAACTGGATGACTTTGTGAATAACCTTGAATGAATTTTTTTTTTATTATGTAATAAAATCTTTAACTGAATAATTAAAATTTATTGGATAGATTTCTCTTTAAACATTTGTTGTATACAGTTTTAAAATTTTATATATAATTGTATTTGTAATTAGCAGTACAGATGACTAGAGCTGATGTTAACTGGATGCAACTAAGGGTAAATGTGCAGGTCATTTCATGTCACTTCACGAATGCAGAGAGATATAGTGTAGTAAGCTTTTAAGTTATATAAACTGCTCCTCAAGCAGTCAAACCTAGATGGACTTTCAAATCCACTTTTTTTCACCCTCTTGTACTGATTATTTCTACTTTGTTACAGTGGGGTCAGATGAACTGGATAGCTACATGTATCAGACAGTGGGTCATCATGCCATTGATTTGTATGCAGAAGCAATGGCCCTTCCCCTCTATCGCCGTACCATAAGAGGAAGGAGTGTGGATACAGGACGAGTGTACACCAAATGTGAAGGTGATGAGGTTGAAGATCTCTATGAGCTTTTGAAACTTGTTAAGGTATGCAGACTGACCAATTACATTTACTGAATTTAATGTGTAATTTGAAAAATTACATGTATTGACTTATTTAGTAATAAATAATTTGTAACTGCTAGTAGCCCAACTACTCTATGAAAGAATATTTTGTATTTTTTAATAGAAAAGAAAGTTGTTACTCTAACCTTTATGTTAAATATTATTTGAAACTAAAACTTTTGATATAATTTGGCACCCAGGATTGTCAAATGATACTTAACTAAGTTGTTGTTTTTCGTTAGGGTTTTGAAGCTGATGACCTTTTGATCATTTTTTTAGAAAATAGTTTTCGACTACATACCATGTGCTTGATATAGGGACTAGGGAATGGGGCAGTGAACATATCAGACAAACTCCTGTTCTGCTGGAGCTTACTTTCCAGTGGAAGGAGACAGACAATAAACAAACACACAAATATGTAAATATTTTTTTATTTTATTTTTACAAAGGAAGGACAGTTTCATCTCTTCTACCAAGGGACGTGGCATTTCATTTTCTTTCTTTTTTTCTAATTTATCTTTATTTTTGAAAGTATTACATATGTCCCCTTTTCTCCTCATTGATCCCCTCTACCCTGTACCCCTCCCCTCAGGCCTTCACCCCACTATTGTCTGTGTCCATGGGTTATGCATATATGCATATGAATTCTTATGTTACTCTCTCCCCATCCACCCACCCATCCCCACCTTCCCTCTGAGATTCATCAGTCTGTTCCATGCTTCTATGTCTCTGGATCTATTTTGTTCATCAGATTCCACATATGAGTAAGATCATGTGACACTTGTCTTTCTCTAACTGGCTTATTTCTCTTGGCATAATACTCTCCAGGTCCCACCATGCTGTCTCAAAGGGTAAAGGATCCTTTGTTTTACAGCTGCATAGTATTACATTGTATAACTGTCCAAGAAGGTGCTTGATATGATTTCAGTCTTCTTGAACTTGTAGAGACTTGGTTTGTGTCCTAACATGTGGCCTGTTTTTGAGAATGTCCCATGTGCACTTGAGGAGAATGCCTATTCTGCAGGTTTGGAGTGGAGTGTTCTGTAAATGTCAATTAAATCTATCTGATCTAGTGTGTCATTTATTTATTTATTTATTTATTTATTTATTTATTTATTTATTTATTTAT